CAAAGCATGGGAATAGCACTATCAGAAGAACATGAGCGCCGTGTGGGAGGGAGCCATTTCTCTGCACCAAATTCAAGTGCCCACTACAGTAGGGGTATTAGTTTATTGGGGCTGCCATCACAAAATACCACAAACTGAGTAGCTTAAAACAACAGAAATGTATTGTCTCTCAGTTCTTCCTGAAGCCAGGAGTCAGAAATCAAAGTGTCAACAGCCTCATACCCTCTGAAAGTTCCAGGGACCCTTCCCTGCCTCTTCCAACTTCCGGTGGCTCCAGGCGTTCCTTGACTTCCGGCCATATCACTCCTATCTCTGCCTCTATCTTCACGTGGCCTTCTCCCTGTGTGTCTGTGTCCTCTCCTCTTCTGCCTCTTATAAGGACACTTGTCATTGGATTTAGGACCTACCTAGATAATCCAGGATCATCTCATCTTGAGATCCTTAATTTAATTACATCTGCAAAGACTCTTTTCCAAATAAGGTCACAGTCACAGGTTCTGGGGGTTAGGGCTTGGATATATCTCTTTAAGGGCCACCAGTCAACCCAATATAAGCAGGGTGACCCGTTAGAGCGGTGATTCTCAACTAGGGGGCAATCCTGCTCCTTTGGACACTTGGTGACACCTGGAGACATTTTTTTTTTTTTTTTTTTTGCGGTACGCGGGCCTCTCACTGTTGTGGCCTCTCCCGTTGCGGAGCACAGGCTCCGGACGCGCAGGCTCAGCGGCCATGGCTCACGGGCCCAGCCGCTCCGCGGCATGTGGGATCTTCCCGGACCGGGGCACGAACCCGCGTCCCCTGCATCGGCAGGCGGACTCTCAACCACTGCGCCACCAGGGAAGCCCGAGACATTTTTAATTGTTACAACGTGGGACCAGGTGTGGTGGGGATAGGGGTGTTATGGCATCCAGTGAGTAGAGGCTAGGGATGCTGCTAAATGTCCTGCAATGTTCAGGACAGCCCCGCACCGCAGAGAGTGACCGGGCCCCAACTGCATGGGGGCTACAGTTTGGAAATTCTGGGATAGTTGAAAGGCCCAGTTAAGTTGGAAGGGACTCTGCAGCCTGACAGGCGTCATTTGCTGGGTGACTTCTCCCAGGCTCTGTGCTTCACCTGCAAAAGGGAGTAAAACCATACAGGCCTTGTAGGGCTGTTCTGAGCACACAAGGCTGGCACCTATGTTGACCTGAAAAATAAAAGTTATTTTACCAGCAAAGATGGGTTTATGGGGAAATAGCATGGAATTACAATTCAGGACAAGCAACCTACAGCGAAAACCATAGACAAGTCCAACAACAACAACGACAATAAAAAGGAGAGGAACATTATTTTATAAAGAAAAAGGAGGGGGGCTTCCCTGGTGGCGCAGTGGTTAAGAATCCACCTGCCAATGCAGGGGACATGGGTTCGAGCCCTGGTCCGGGAATATCTCACATGCCACGGAGCAACGAAGCCCGTGTGCCACAACTACTGAGCCTGCAGTCTAGAGCCCACGAGCCACAACTACTGAGCCCGTGTGCCTACGGCCTGTGCTCCACAACAAGAGAAGCCCACCCAATGCAACGAAGAGTAGCCCCCACTCGCCGCAACTAGAGAAAGCCCGCACACAGCAACGAAGACCCAACGCAGCCAAAAATAAATTAAAATTAAAATTAAAAAAAAAATTTACTTAAGAAAATGGAGGAAGTTGAGAGGCACTGTTTGGAAGGAAAATCCACTGGAGAAAACTGAGTGTTCAGGGTGATGACAGTTTCTCATTGGCTGAGTTCCTAGGGTAGTTGATTTCTTGTAGGAGATGCAATGTACCTCCTTTCTTTTGGTGCCTGTAATTGGTGATTCCTTCCTATTGATGATTCTTCTGTCCGGGCCTGTAATTGACAGTTCTTCCTGTAATTGACCTTGAGTAATACTGCATGAGAGCTCCCCCTCTGGCCTCCCAACTCCATTTTTGTGAGGTTTCCCTTTATTTTCATACCTTGTAAACATCTTAGAAGAGTTCTCCATTGTTGAGATAATTTTGCGCCCAGTAATCTCTTGAATTCACAATAAGTTGGGACTTCCCATGGTTCTGGCGGAGAGAGGAAAATCTAACCAGGAAATTTTAAAGGGAATTGAAACTGCACACCTCAGATGGGACTCCAACCCACAATCTCTGGCAGATGGGACTTGAACCCACAATCTCCCAGCTGAAACTTCACGCCTGGTCTCAGGGCTTACTGAAGTTCCAGTTCTTGTGTCTTGGTGCAGAGAGAATTCAACGAGAGGCAAAGTGATAGGTAAGAAGTGGGGTGGGTTTTTTTTTTTTGGCTGTGCCAGTCTTAGCTGCGGCATGAGAACGCGGACTTCTTAGTTGTGGCATCCACGTGGGATCTAGTTCCCCGACCAGGGATCGAACCCAGGCCCCCTGCATTGGGAGTGCAGAGTCTTACCCACTGGACCACCAGCGAAGTGCCAAGAAGTGGATTTAATACTATAGGACTCTTGTGAAGGATACAAGCCGGCAGGCAAGGGAGCTCGGCTGTCCTGAGAACAAAGGTGGCTACATTTTCATAATCAAAGAAAAAGTAGGTAGGGAAGAATACCCCCTTCTTCCTCATTCTTGGGTAGATGTCAAGGCTTACCTCATTAGCTCCTCCTTTAAGCTTGTATGGTCTAACTGGGACTGTCATAGCGCTACTTAAATCATATGTATTGGGTTGGCCAAAAATTTCGTTCGGGTCTTTCCATAGCCTCTTACAGAAAAACCAGAACGAACTTTATGGCCAACCCAATATATTAGTAAAAAGGTGGTAACATATACTAAAATATGCTAATTTATCTCAGGTTTCAGTATAATGTCACCTTTCCCCTAGTTTCTTTCACCTTTCCCCCATATTCCTCTGTAAGCTACCCTCCGGAATGCAGTTTTTCAGGGCAGGTTATCTTACAGACCTCACAATGCCAAATGCAGGTCTTGTATCTATTTTTTCCGTGGTAGTGGCCTAAGTAAGTGTTTAGTTTCAAAATGTTCTGATTTAGCTGCCAGATGACCTGGGCATTTCCTGGTTGGTGTCTAGTTTATGGGTGACGTCCTGAAGTCCTTCTCTATCTTCCCCTAGTGGGATTTCTAGCTGTGTAAGTATCTTACTCTATCCCTATCAGAATGAAAGGTGGACCCATCAGGGATGGGCCCAGTCACAAAGCCTTGACAAGGTAGGTTAAACTCTTGAGAATGAGGATTTTGTGGTTTTCTTTTTTATTGTTTAAAGCCAATACTAAGTTTCTTTCTGTCTCTCACATCTCCCCAGGTCCAGAAAAGTCCTCAAGACCTGGTGTTCTGGGTACCTATTGCTGTATAACAAATCACCCCCAAACTGAGTGGCTTCATCCGAGGCTAAGCAACTATTTCTCAGGATCCCATGGGTTGCCTGTGAGACAGGCTGGGACCTGGGACCTGGGACCCTTTGCTGCAGTGCTTGCACCTGGACAAAGTCTCCTCAAGCAACAAAATATGAGTACAAAGAAACTATAAGGGACTAAAAAGAACTGCTTGCACGCACCGTTAGGGCAAACTATGGACAAGATACAAAAAGACCAAAAAACCCCAACTGCCACTTCTGAAGAGCTGGGAGCAAAAGCCGGGTACTGCGCATGCCCCCTGCACACAACACCACCAAAGGGGTGGGCAAACCACCAAAGCCGCCCCTCCAACCCAACCCCTGGACACACCCCTCCCCTCACCCCATATAAGGAACCAGCTCGCCCCCACTTCAGCAAGCAAGCCAGCCAGGGAAACTGTTACTGGTTCTGCAAGTAGGGGCCTGCAGCAGGGGCCCCAGTAAAGCCTTGCCTTGCTGGAATTTCTTGTCTGGCCTCTGATCAATTTCTGTTGATTAAGGAGGCCAAGAACCCTGGTCAGTAACACCTGGGCGTCCCTCTGCTGGTCTCACCTGGCACAGTCACTGTGCTACATTCTGTCAGTGGCTGGGCTGGAAGATCACACGTGTGGCAGTTGGCTGGGCATCTAGCTCTCTTCCATGGGGCCTCTCGACCAATAGGCTAGAACGGGTCGCAGGCCAAATCCTGCTCACTGCGGGCTAAGAATGGTTTTTACATTTTTCAACGGTTGAAAACGAAATCGAAAGATTGATGTCTCACGACATATGAAAATCCTATGAAATTCAAATTTCAGTGTCTGAACATAGAGTTTTATTGGAGCCCAGACACATAAATTAATTTACATAGTGTCTAGAGATGGTTTTGCACAATAAGAGAATTCAAAGTTGCAGCAGAGACTCTATGGCCTAAAATGTCAAAAATATTTACTCCCTGGCTCTTTATATAAAAAGTTTGCCAACCTCTGGGCTAGATCAGCTTCCTTACATGGGGCGTCTGGAGGCCATATTCCAAAAGAGTGAAAGTGGGAGGTGAGAATAAGGCTTATCGTGCGAACTCACACCTTCCACCACATTCTATCGGTCAAAGCAAGTTAGGAGCCAACTGGCTTCAAGGAGAGGAGAACTAGTTCCCAGCGCTTGGTGGGAAAGGGCCGCAAAATACTGTGACCATGATTTTCACCCTTACTCACCATGGAATCTTAAGGTGGGCTGTTCAGACAGAATTCAGGAGGGCGAAGGGAAGAAAAAAGAGTTTATTCTTATTAATTTCTAACTGGAATTTAGCCTGTTTTCTCATGTCCTATCAAAGCAGATATTGGCCAGCTCTGTGACTTTGTCACCCGTGTAAATCAAAGATAATTTCACAGGACATCCTGGTCATGGCAGGCAGACACCTTGAAATATCATTTATGCTCATCTCGACTTAGAAATCACTGTTATTAATTAGTCGAGCCCTGTGGTTTAGGATTACCGAATGCATTCATGAAGAGGCACGTATCTTTTTACATTACAATTTAACAAAATATTTTCACACCAGTATGTCAGCCTGTTTTTTTAATGCCTTAGCAGCTGTCTGCTGAGACAGGCCCATGAGCAGCTGACCCCCTGCCCTCAGAGGCAGCAAAGAATCAGGTCGAGGTTAGGCAGATTAGTGAGGTTCTAAACTGGCCTCCTAAAAATTCCTAATCCTGGGACAGCAGCCAGTCAGCAGGCTCGGGGTCACACAAGGTCCTTGCGCCCTGTCCCCAGCACCCAGCCAGGGTTGTCATGGCCTGCCTGTTCTCTGGCCGTGTCCTGATCCGAAACAACAGTGACCAGGATGAGTTGGACACGGAGGCTGAGCTTAGCCGCCGGCTGGAAAACCGACTGGTGCTGCTGTTCTTTGGTGCCGGCTCGTGCCCGAAGTGCCAGGCCTTTGCACCCATCCTCAGGGACTTCTTTGTGCGGCTCACGGATGAGTTCTACGTGTTGCGGGCAGCCCAGCTGGCTCTGGTGTACGTGTCCCAGGACTCGACAGAGGAGCAGCAGGACCTGTTCCTCAGGGACATGCCCAAGAAGTGGCTCTTCTTGCCCTTCGAGGATGACCTGAAGAGGTGAGGTAAGAGGAGAGGTCAGGGAGGGCTTCCTGGAGGAGGGGCTGTTTCTGCTGAAAGTGAAGTATTTGTTTACTGAGGTATCTGTTCCATCTGAAGTTGATGAGCACCCTCTGTAGGCCAATCAGAACAGAGAACTGGGGGAGAGGGGCGGGGGAGGGGTACATATGCCCATTTCCATCCAGCTCCCTGGGGAGTTTACAACCTGGGAAGGGGGGAGCACAAACGTGAAACAAAGACTCAAACACTCAGATAAATACATAATAAAGAACTGCAGTAGTTCCCAAGGACAAAGGGAGGATGTCATGAGGAAATATCATGGGGAGACCTTGCTGAGATTTGGGGGTCAGGGGATGCTTCCCAGAGGAAATGGCTTTAAAGAGAGACACCCCACCACCACCACCAAGGACAAGGAGGATAGGAGGGTAAAGAGTGAGGAAAGGGAAGGGTTTCCAGGCAGAGGACATAACCCAGACAAAGGCTCGGAGGAATTCAGGGAAAGAACAGCCAATTCAGGGAACAGTCATACCAGGAGTAAGAAGGCAGCATGTGGAGCAGTGCCCCAAATCCCACCTAATGAGCGTGGATGTGATCCTCAGAGTAGCTGGGAGCCATGGAGGGCACTGGAGCTGAGAGAGAGAGATGGTTGAGTTCCAGCCGTCCAAGGAGCTGCCCAATAAACTGATCGTTTGTGGCTATTTGCAGACTTTCCCCTTTTCAACAGTGAGACTTTCATTCTTTTTATTTATTTATTTTATAAATTTATTTCTATTTTATTTCCTTATTTTTGGCTGTGTTGGGTTTTTGTGGCTGTGCACAGGTTTTCTCTAGCTGTGGCGAGCAGGGGGCTACTCTTCGTTTTAGTGCCCGGGCTTCTCATTACGGTGGCTTCTCTTGTTGCGGAGCACAGGCTCTAGGCACGTGGGCTTCAGTAGTCGTGGCTCACAGGCTCTAGAGCACAGGCTCAGTAGCCGTGGCGCACGGGCTTAGTTGCTCCGCGGCATATGGGATCTTCTCGGACCAGGGCTTGAACCCGTGTCCCCTGCATTGGTAGGCGGATTCTTAACCACTGCGCCACTAGGGAAGTCCCTCATTCTTTTTAAACCCCAATTTTTTACTATGAAAAGTTTCCTGCAAGCCGTGTGGCATGGCCAAAGGAAAAATAAAAGAAAAATTTCAAAGATACCAAAAAGTCGGAAGGAGCACACGATGAAACCCTTGGGCATTTTTGCCATTTGCTTTATCTCCATGCACGTGGAGTTTGTGCTGAACCGTTTCAAAGTGAGTTGCAGACTTTGTGCCATTCTACTGATGTCATCAATTTTGTTACAAAACTTAGACGTTTCTGGTCATGGAGACCTTCATCCCCACCCAACATTATCAGAGTTGGCACACTTGCTCACTCCCACAGCCTTCTGCAGCTGAGGAGGTTCTTTTCCCCAAATGGTGAACATTTCCCTCCCCTGGGGGAAGAAATGCCAGCTGTAAGGGGATCATAGCCAAACATTGACCTTGTTTGAGGCAGGGTCCTCTCCACAAAGCCTTCACCCAGGCAAGTATCCAGACAGAGTGAGCGAGTCCCCACCCCCTACCCCTCCCACACACAGGGTTGCCAGATAAAATACAGGACACCCAGTTGAATATAAATTTCATGTGAACAATGAAAAAATTTTGAGTATAACTGTGTCCCACGTGATGCAGGGACATACTTATAAAAAGTTATTTGTTGTTTACATGAAGTTCAAATTCATTCACACAGGGTGTCCTGTATTTCTAGTTGCTAAGTCTGGCAACCTACTCCTGTGGGATTTTGCAAGTATCAATACTATGTGTCTCTGTAAGGAGGCCTGGAAAAGGGCCACCCAAGAACCCCGTGGGTGGAAGTTAAGAATCATGGGTGATGGGACCAGTCTGGTAGCCTGCTTGACTCCATGATGACCGTGTGGGGCTTTGGCCTAGATGGGAGATTTGGTCTGGGGGTCTCCTGTGGATGGCTTTTCACTGGCTCTCTCTCATACAGAAAACAAAATCAAAAACTCCTTACCATGGCCCTGCAGGGCCTTTATGATCAATGCTGCACTCCAATCTCCCTCTGACCTTCAGGCTTTTGCACCAGCTGTGCGCACTCTGCATGGGAAAACTTTCCCCAGTTCTCCCCTTCCTCTTCCTGCAGATTTCAGCTCCAGGGTCACCTCCTTAAAGAGGTCCTCTCTGACCATAAGTCCTTTACTCAGTTTAGTATCTCTTTATGGAATCTGTCAGTGTTTATTCATTCATCCCACACACATTTCCTGAGCATCTACTCTGTGCCCGGCACTGTTTCGGGCAATGGGGACACTCGTGAATAGGGACAGAAAGTAGCCCTAGTGAAGCTACTTTCTATTGTGGGAGAAAGCTACTTTCTATTGTGGGAGAAAATGACAAACAGGAGAAATAAACTATGCAGTGTGTTGGATGCTGAGAGCCGCGCATCAGCAGAGAGAAAGAGAGGCGTTGAGATTTAAGGTTAGGTGTCTGCAGCATACAGGGTCTTAATCCGCAGATGTCTGGAGAGAGTGCTCCAGGCAGAGGACATGGCCAGTGCAAAGGCCCTGTGGTGGGAGCATGTTTGGGGTGTTGGAGCCAAAGCCCGGAGGCCAGTGTGGCCTGGCCTGTTCTGGTTCCTGGGCATCCCCAGAGGCCGGCATGGGACAGTGCACACAGAAGGCGCTCAGTAAGTACTGAGGGAGGAGGGATGTGGGGCTCTTCAGCATAGGGTCAAGGACGAGGGTCCGACCGGACTGACCCGCCCGCCCCGCAGGGACCTCGGGCGCCGGTTCTCCGTGGAGCGCCTGCCGGCGGTCGTGGTGCTCAAGCCGAATGGGGATGTGCTCACGCTCGACGCGGCCGACGAGATCCGGCGCCTGGGCCCTGCCTGCTTCGCCAACTGGCAAGAGGCGTCTGAGGTGCTGGACCGCAGCTTTCTGCTGCCAGAGGACCTGGACGACCCCGCGCCGCGGAGCCTCACCGAACCACTGCGCCGCCGCAAGTACAGAGTGGACCCGGCGTCGCGGGGCGTACGAGGCCGGGGTAGAGGGGGCGACCCCGGGCAGGAGGGCGGGGCCGAGGGCGGGTCAGTGGGGCTGTTCTGACCCCTGGAGGGGTGGACCGGACTGGGGGCGGTCCATGATGAAACCCCCGAGGAGGGCGGGGGCGGGGCTGGGGCGGAAGTGGGCTGTTCTGATCCCTTTGCTGGGAGAGAACAGACAGGGGCGGGTCTATGAGGAGTCCTTCCCCCTCCCCTAGGGTGGGTGGGGCTAGGGGGTGGGGGTCTGCTCTGAACCCTCCGGTAGGACAGAACAGACAGACAGGGGCGAGTCTGTGATAAGCCCTCATCCCACCCCCACCCCCCGACCTCCCGGTAGTGGGCGGGACCGGGGGGCTGTTTTGAGGCCCCATGGTGGAAGGCTGACGGTTAGAGCAAGCAGAATCTCTGAGGAGCCCCAGCGGGACGGGAAGTGGGGTCGGGGTGAAGGGAGGGGACCATTCTGAGTTCAGGCCAGGAGGAGGGAGGGGACGTAGCGTCAGGCCGGAGCCGCGGGCTGGGGAGGCGGTCTGTATTCTGAGCCCAGCCCGAAGAGCAGAGGAGCGGTGAGGGTGGAGCTGCTCTGAGCTCCCCGGATGCAGAGTAAAGGCCGAGAAGTGGGGAGCAGGAAGGGTCTTTTTTGCGGCCCACCCTCCACACCCTCAGGATTCAGCGGGGGCGAGGGGCTGTGTAATGAGATGGCGGGGGAGAAACAGGGCGGGACCTGAGGTAGTTCGGACGCCCCACCCCCGCCACAGGTGGAGGGTGAGACCTAGCGCAGGGCCGATGACGGAGGTTTCTGTGTGAGGCCTCCCTCCCCCTCCCCCCCAGGACCTGGCAGGCCCAGGACCTGTCTTGGTTCTCCAGCGGCCGGGGTGGTGAAGCAGGGAGAGCTTTTCAAGGGCCTCTAGAAATATTTTTAAGACTTGGGGAGGAGGGGTGGTTACAAGTTCCAAAATGGGAAAATGCAAACCAAAATCAAATGATGGTGCTGAGAACCCTCGGCCCGCCGTGCACTAAATGGCGTTGTTCACATGCTTCATGCGCAAAACTACAGTAATCCTTTAACAACGGATTTGTAGTTTGCACGGGATGCAGTTCAATATTTGGTGTCGTGTGCGCTGGGTCCAGGACCTTCAGCGAGGGCTCAGAGTCTCCCTGTCCCTGGTGAACCCTGGGGTTTCACGAGGAGACAGCAGAATATAGAAATCAAAAACCCTAGTCTGGAGCCCCTTCCCGGCTGTGTGACTGTAGGACAGTCACCTCCCCTTTCTACGCCTCCTTTCTTTCCTCTGGAAAATGACAGTAAGGCAAGGTCCTACCTGGCAGGTCAGCCAAGGACCCAGAGCCGGAGCTCGCTCCGCGCATGAACCTCTTCATTTTGCCTCTGGCGCCGCCTGGCGGCGAGATGGGGAGGTACGTCCTAGGGGAGGGGCCAAACATGCAAATGAGGTGCAGTCCACACCTGTTCCCAGTCTCCGGAAAGGGTGTGCTAGGAGGGCGGTGCGACTCCGGGATTTGGGAGGCCCTGGAGGCCTAGGGACTGGACAAGTGCCTCATTTCTTGCTCACCCCTAACCCCCAATCTCCAACTGAGGAAATTGAGGCTCAGGTCGGTGATGCCACCTGCTCTGGTTCCAGACACATCTTGCCCTTCATTGACCTTAATTAGGCCTATCTGTGAAATGGTTGTGTTAAACCCTGTGATAATGGCTCTTAAATTCTTAGGTCGCTGGCTCACCGACAGCCTTTAAAAGAAGTTAAAAAACATCCTTCCCGAGAGCAAACCACAGGACACACATCCCATCAATATCTTTACTATTTCAGCCAGCACGGAATGAGAGTGGCCAGGTTTTGCCCCCCGGGCAGTGAGGTAGGGAAGTCCGCTCCCTGTCCTGTCAGGCTGTGTGATGTGGGCAGGTCACTGGCCGTCTCTGAGTCTCCCTCCTGGTAGATAGGGATCAAACCTCCCATCCCCATCTCTACTCCTGCTTGTCACAGCTAAGGTGAGGAAGGGACAGCTTGGCATCTGGCCAAGGCAGACAAGATCACTGTCAGAGTGTCACCTACAGAGTGTTGCCAACTTGCAGGGTTAAATTTCCAAATTGAAACCAGACACCCCCAAACCAGAGAATCACCCCCATATTCAAAGGGGGTGCCAGGTTGTGGTATCTGTGACACTACCGCCCAGCCTCCATCAAATAATTGTGAAGTCTAAAAGAGGGCTGTAATGACCTTTGGCCATTGCATAGAATTGCCCCTTTATTTGGCTGGTTTAGCATGTGTTTTCACCTCCTCCCCAGAAGGGCAAGCTGGACCTGCCTTTGTCACCACTGGGTCCCCAGAGCCAGGGGGGCACGGGCCCCCATCAATGTTTTTTGAATGAATAAATGCCTCTATCTTACAGCTGTGTATCCCCAACACCCAGAACAGAGCAAGGACTCTGTTCCAAACAAATCACTGAGCCCCAGCTATCCCAATGTGAGACGTTTTCTTACCTGTAAAACATGGAAAACTCACTCTAACTTTGGCGATGAAGAAAAAGGCTGGGTGTGTCGGGCCAAAGCCTGGTGAATAAATGAATGAATAAACTAATTCCTCTTATAGATGAGGAGGCCCAGAGAGGTTAAGGGATTTACCCAAAGCCACACAGCAAAGGAAGAAGCCACCTGTTGCTGAAGGGTCACCCTGTTCTCTCCCCTGGGGTCATTTTACCCATCAGGCACTAGGCTGAGGGCTCAAGGCCCACAAACTTTTCCCAGAAGACCCCAAAATTTTGAAACCTGAAAAAAATGGCTCCCCAAATTAGAGAAGAGACCTGGAAATTCAAAACCAGTGGGATCTATAACATTTCTGTGAAGCAGTATAAAGCAGTGGGTGGGAGCTAGGCTGTCTGTGTTTGCTGCATGACCTAGGGAGTTACTTAACCTCTCTGTGTCTCAGTTTCCTCATCTGTAAAGCCTAGGTGATGACTATGCTGTCTTTCAGGCCCAAATGCATTAAGACAGAGATGGCTTGCAGGAGGCCATGTCGACCTCATTCACTCTTATATTCTGGATCTATCAGGAATGTGTTAACTTTGAAACCATTTTCAGTTTTGATATTTCAAACTTTGCAAGAATTACAGAGCAGGAGTACAGAGCGATCCGTTCACTCATGCATGCAACAAGCATTTATTAAGGGCCTACTGTGTGCGAGGTGCAGACCCAGACACAAAGGGGACACAGCAGTGGACACTTGAAGCAGACATTCTACGGACTGGAGCAGCCACCCCTCCCCCACTACCGGGCCACACATAGTGGGAAAATGCACATGGTGCGCTGCCAGAGATGTAAAGTGCTACAGGAAAGCAAGAAGACAAACAAGCCAAATGAGCGAAGGATATGAAGAGACATTTCTCCAAAGAAGATACACAAATAGCCAACAAGGGCATGAAAAGACACCCTACTTCAGTGGTTATTATGGAAATGCACATCAAAATTGCAATGAGATACCCATTCACACCCTGTAGAATGGTTACAAAAAAAAAAAAAAGAGAAAATAACAAGTGTTGGAAGGGAAATGAAGAAATTGGAAGCCTGGTGCACTACTGGTGGGAATGTAAAATGGTGCAACCGTTGTGGAAAACAGGCAGTTCCCCAATAAGTTAAATAGAGAGTTACCATATAACCCAGCCATTCCACTCTAGGTGTAGACCCAAAAGAAATGAAAACAAGACTCAAACAAATCATTGTATGTGCATGTTCTTAGCAGCACTATTCACAATCGACAAAAGGTGGAAACAACCCAAATGTCCATCAAAAGATGAATGAGTAAAGTAAATGTGATCCACCCATACAATGAAATGTTATTCAGCCATAAAAAAGGAATGAAGCATGGGCATATATACACTACCAAACATAAAATAGAAAGCTAGTGGGAAGCAGCCGCATAGCACAGGGAGATCAGCTAGGAGCTTTGTGACCACCTAGAGTGGTGGGGTAGGGAGGGTGGGAGGGAGGGAGATGCAAGAGGGAAGGGGACATTTGTGTATGTATAACTGATTCACTTTGTTATAAAGCAGAAACTGACACACCATTGTAAAGCAATTATACTCTAATAAAGATGTTAAAAAAAAAAAAGAATGGAGCACTGACACGAGCTACAACATGGATGAGCCTTAAAAACCTTATGCTCAGGGAAAGAAGCCAGACACAAAAGGCCACATATTGTCTGGTTTTGTTTATATGAAACGTCCAGAAAAGACAAATCCATAGAGACAGACAGTAGATTGATTTGTGGTTACCAGGGGCTGAGAGTGGGGAATGGGAAGCGACTGCTAATGGGGGAGGGGGGGGGAAATGGAAATTCCAGTACTAGATAGAGGTGATGGTTGCACAACGTTGTGTATGTACTAAATACAACTGAATTGTTCACTTTCTAATGGTTAATTTTTTTTTTTTTTTTGCGGTACGAGGGCCTCTCACTGTTGTGGCCTCTCCCGTTGCGGAGCACAGGCTCCGAACGCGCAGGCTCAGCGGCCATGGCTAACGGGCCCAGCCGCCCCGCCGCATGTGGGATCCTCCCGGACCGGGGCACGAACCCGTGTCCCCTGCATCGGCAGGCGGACTCTCAACCACTGCGCCACCAGGGAAGCCCCTCTAATGGTTAATTTTATGTCGTGTAAATTTCACCTCAATTTTTAAAACTTAAAAATAAATAAGTAATATCCCCCAAAATGTGCCGTGGGAAGAACAAAGGCTAGCAGCGAAGGACAGGTGTGCTGCTTGGGGAGGGGGTGCAGGAGGGCCTCTCTGAGGTGGCTGACGTTTCTGAAAAGCCTTGAAAGAAGGTGAGCAGAGGGGACATTCCAGCCAATTGCCGGATCCGCGGGTAGAGACCACATATCAGAGCGAATTATTTAAAAATTCGGTCAAGTTTCTTTTCTTTCTTAAAAGACAGCAATGAAACAGGTGCTTGGGGCAGCGGGAGGGGAAAATGGGGCACTTGAATGAGTTTATGGATCTGAGAGGCTCTCTGGATCCCGCCACGGCGCCCTTATCCCACGTGGGACCGCCTCCGCCCCGCCTTCGCCCCGCCCCCCGCAGGCCCCGCCCCTCCAGAACTCTGAGGCCAGGAGCTGTCGGTCACAGAGAAAGAAAAGACTTTGTCTCAAGTTTTCCCAGAGCTTTCTCGTCCTCACCGCGACTGGCATCCCGAGCCCTCTGCGGCCCCGACAATATTCAGAAACCCCCCCTGCGGCCCCGCCCCCTCTGGACCGCCGAGGGCCTCGGACGCCCCTCAACTCCCCTGCCCCCTAAAATCTCTTTGATTCCTCAACTGTCCCATAGGCCCGCAGGACCCCTCCATGGCCAGGTCGTACGGCGGCCGGGTGCTGGCCGCGATGATCCTTTTGGGCATCCCCGCGGCCGTGCTGGCGGCGCTGGGCGCGCAGCTGCTGTTCCAGCTGCAGGCGGGCCGCGCGGAACTTCGAGGACCGCGAATCGACGTGGTGGGCCCGGAGCTGGGCGCCGGCCCTGGGCTGCCGGAGGACGCGGCCGGGGCGCTGCTGCCGCTGGCAGCCGCGCTCGCCGCGCTCGCCCTGGTGCTGGGTCTCACCTGTCTGCTTCTCGCCGCGCTCTGCGGCCACCTGGGCGCCGAGATGGCGCGGGGACCGGGCTCCGGCAGGTAGGAGGACCGGCCCCTCTGCCCGGCTGGGGGCTGGACAAGCCCGGGGGAGCCGCTTCCCTTCTCTGGGCCTCAGGTTGGGAGAGAGCTTTCCTTCCTCACTCCCTCCATCCATCTTTCCCTTCCTCCTTTCTTCCGTCCCTCCCTCCCTCTCTTTCTCCTTCTCTCCATCCATCCCCTCCCTCCATCCTATATTTGTTGAAAATTTACAGCAGGTACAACTACAGCTGGGACCCCCTTTTCAAAGATGTGGCAACAGGCTCAGAGAGGGCCTGGGGTCAGTTAGCCCCAGTGTTGATAGCGTTTGTCATTTATGGAAACCTAAGCTCTAGGTGCCCCCCACTTAATGTGGATTAACACAGTGAAGCCCCCTGGGTGGCTGGCGCTGTTATTATCTCCCGTTTTAACAGTGTGTTAAAAAGAGTCTGCTCTCTCTAGGCTGCCAGGATTGGAAGGGGGTGGACTGGATTTGAACTTGAATCTGGTAGAGCCAGAACATGTGCCCTGGCCCTGGGTGGGGTTCCTTGTCAGGCACCTGAGCTCGGGGATATGGGCACTGGACAGGGCGGCCGGCGGGTGCATGTGGAGTGCGGAACCTTCCTTGAGCCAAGGACTTGGCTGTCCCATATCTGAGTGTTTCCTTCCAGGATGCTGGGGGAGGGGA